GATGAAAGCCCGATCACACTTGATCGTCTTGACATGAAAGCCTGCCTTATTGTAGCGGCGGAATATCTTATCCAATGCTTCAAATACAGGGTCAGTCTTGAGGTTCTGCATGGGAATACATGAGCGACAACACACAGTGGTATCAATGCAGGCGAGAAACTTAGCATCTCCGATCTCCATGTGATCAATACAGACGGTAATTGTTCGATTGTGTTGGTACAATTCCTCTGGTGGACTGAGGAAGTCATCGTGTGTCTTCTTTGGAGTTGGTCTTGTCGACTTGCCTTTCAATGTAGATGCGTTGCTTTGGCATGGTTGATCGCTTCTTCAGTGATAGGACAGTCCTTGATGAGACCAGATCGGATCGCATTCTTCAGACTTTTGGTGCTTGGAGCATTGAGTATGTGCATCGCACTTCTTGCTTCCATCGCAGCCTGGACTTGTCTTGGAGTGAATCCTTCCTTGTTCTTTCAAACCGTTGCCATCTTTGTAGTCATCCCGAGTCCAGCATATCCATTCTGTTTTGAAGAAAGTTCGAAATGGGTTTGTTTATTTACTTGCTTAACTGGCGACGGTATATTGCACTTGTATCTTTGGCACCTGGTTCGACATCCGCTCCAAGTTGCTCCAACACATATACACCCTTGCGATTCACAAATCGCATCTGTCTGTCTCCATCGCAATGCACAACAAAGGCATTGTCAAAATTAGTATCCATGGTAATGCGGTATCCAGCAGCAATCATCTCGCGCATAGCAAGTACATTGGCAATTCCGTCTTCATCATAATAGACTGGAGGCGGAAATCTTCCTAGAAACCCTTCTTCATCAAGAACTCTGCTGCCCACGTTAGTGTGCATATCAAGCTCTTTCTCAGCTTGACGTAGTCCATGCATGAGTTCACCATTACAAATGGTGGTGTTGGTGCAACCACTGTCCATGATGACGTGATCAAGCAAACCAAACGGATCTCTTCCGATTCTGCGGCTTTGAATAAACTGCATACCTCAATTTGCTTCAGTAGTAAGATCTGGCAAGTCTTCACTTTCACTAGCATAGTGCCAGTTAGATTGAAGTTCGACGTTAGTTGTTCCAGTAGGACATGGAATAAGATAGACATCATTGCCATTCTCATCCTTTCCCTTGATAGCATCCTGAAAGACATTTGACATATCATAATAGCCAGTCTTCACAACCTGGGGAGTTCGAGCTTGAGTTGCATTGAATCCTTGGCGCACTTGAGCACCACTGAAGCCTTGTTGGCTGAGTTGCATTCCACTGAACGCAATCTCACCATTAGCATTCATTGAGTAAGGGACAGTCACAGTGCCGCCACCTTGAGTTGGAATCTGCATGAGCTGCATTCCCGAAGGAACTTGCATCATTTGATTACCTGTAGTACCAGCAATTTGCAAAGGTGTGTTAAAACTTCCCGCAACACTTGATGTTGCACCAGTGATAACACTTGTCGCTGGAGAAGTTCCAGGAACTGTAGCTGGGACAGTTGCTCCAATCCGATTAAGATTGAGCTTCTTCCCGTAATCAACATAGTGTTTTGGATGCTTCCATTGAATCTCTGCTAGCAGTCTGTCTGGGCATTTTGGAGACATATGGTCCTCTTTGCCACATACATAACATGCTGCCTTTTTCTTATCGTCCTTTGGTTTACTTTTACCTTTATTTGGCTGGTCTTTTCCTTGGTAAATGTTCACTCCCGGATTCTTGATCACATCCATGTGAATCTTCAACATATCTTGTGCTTTGCTGACCAACTTTGGATAATAATCCACTTCCCTGCAGTAGTTTGTCTGAAGATCCAGCATCAGAGGAGCTGTTCTCGTTCGATCACAGTTGCACAGGAATCCTGTTGCAAGAATGGCTTCAAAGATATCATCCTTGAACTTGTCTTTAGCAGTAGTAAATAAACAAAGTCGTGTTTTGATCGGGTCGTCCATTGGGTTGCGGTGTTAGCTATGATGCGTCTGGCGATTACTTGGAACGCGTTGCGCATGATGTTTGACACTCTCGCAACGTCCACGCACCGAGTGTGGACGGGCTTTGGTGACTCTGAAGAGAGCTTTTATCCCCCTTCCATTGTACCATTTCAGGGTTGCGGCCAGGGCAACGGAGCGGGCCCGCCCATTTGGGTCTCCGTTAGCTCCATCATCATCCAGATGATGACCGCGATGGGCTTCGGCTTCGAATGCCTCACTGCAATTGATTCTCAACTGATCACCGCTCAGTGCTTCTGCTTTGTCGACGACACGGATGTGATCAAAGCGGGCAAGTCCGTGGAACAATCGGGCGAGGATATATGCCACTCCGTCCAACAAGCGGCTTCCACGTGGGCTGGAGGCATTAGTGGTGGTTGATTGACTTTGTGTGGGACTCCAGAGAGGGCAAATGGAGGTTCTGCCGGACGCACCAACTTCTACCGGATCATAAATTACAAATACCTGGACTGACTGGCGAATTGGAAGCCTTACGCCGTCTGGAACCGGATGAGGCAGAGAAAACCTTGGGGGTCATGTTGGCCCCATTGGAAGATCAACATGCTCACGTCGCCCACCTCAAGAGTATCGCCAAAAAGTGGGCTGAGCAAGTGCGATCGGGGCGTCTACACAAATACAATGTCATTCCCCTTATCAAGACAACAGTGATGAAATCCCTGGAATATCCTATGGTGTTAACTACACTGGATGCTGCGACATGGGTGTCAATTATGAGTCCCGTTCTCCAAGTCTGCCTGCCGAAGGCCGGCATATGTAGGAGCTTTCCTCGTGACATGGTTCTTGCCCCTCTCAAATTCCAGGGTCTGGGCATCCCCCATCCGTTTGGTACTCAGGTGTCTAAACATATTGAGGTCCTGCTTCGCCACTTGTCCAACCGAACAAAAACTGGGGCGTATATGGAGGCTGCGGCTCAAGAACACCAACTTGAGATTGGCACCTCCTTTGGACTCTTCCAGCAGGACTATAGCAACACGGCAATTTTGGCGTCAGAAACTTGGCTCAAAAGAGTCTGGAAAGAGTTGGAGGACTTGGATATCTACGTTGCTCTTGACTCTCCTGTCCTCTCTCTCCGGTGCGACGGCGATGCCTTGCTCATTGAGGTATTCATGGAGTTGGAAGTGGACCAGGACGCTCTGAAATGGCTCAACTGGTGCCGTATGTTCCTCCAAGTTTGCACCGTCTCCGACATCGTTACCGCCGATGGCCGCAGCATCCGGGAGTCAATGTGGCATGGGGAACGTGACTACGCTCATCGGTCGTCATATCAATGGCCTCGCACTGTCCGGCCCAACAGGAACCACTGGAAGGTGTGGCAGGACCACCTTACTCGAGCACTACTTGTCTCTGACGGAACCCAGCGCCTACTGCGTCATCCTCTGGGCCCATGGTTCGACCCTCTCGACAACTGGAACTGGTTATGGTCTTCTACCCACGGATTGTTCCACCGCCAGGGCCACGGTTGGCAACACTACTGTCATCGTCGCTCCTTCACACGGAGCATTCAATGGGACTATCCTCGTTCTACGCAATTGTCCGGGTGCAAACGACCACATAACAAGCCTACCGACAACGGCGTCAGCTTCTTGCCGGCCCCCTTTTGGACCCAACCACTCCCAGCCGACTTGTGCCGAGCTACCGTCCACATCACGCCTTCGCTAGGTACTCTAGCCCTCACCGGCACTGGGACAACACCGCTGCAGCCGCATCACGACTCTCAACCGTCTTTGCTAGCCGCCTAGATGGCCGCCTCAGCCAGGGTGACCGAGTATGTTGGCTGGACCCCTGAAGAAGTAGAAATCGATGGCGACGAAAGCCTCCTTGCTGAAGCCCTACTCGAAGACCGGCTGTGTGTGATCAGCGACGGTTCTTATAAGCTCGGTCTGGGCACGGCAGCGGTTCAACTGCTTCCACGTAAGGGTGGCAAGGCACGTATTATTGTTCGGTGCCAGACTCCGGGTCTACCTGAGGATCAGAGTGCGTACCGGAGTGAATTGATTGGCCTACTGGCCGGTATCATGGTTGTTGATTGGCTCCTGGATCAGTGGGCCCCAACACTTTGATCACCACCACGCGTTAGGATTGCGTGCGATGGATTTTCGGCGTTGCTCAACACCTTTACTGACAATCGAGTCACACCGCAACAAGCCCAGTTTGACCTGGTCTCCTCTATCCGGGAGGCACTGGCCCACTCTAGGGCCTCGTGGGAACCTAGCCACGTGTACGTTCACCGTGATAAGGCGACATCCTTTTCGTGCCTCTCTTGGTGGTCCAAACGGAATGTGGAAGTGGATGCGTGGGCGGTTGCTTATCGCCACCAGCTCGAAGCTTCACACCGATTGATTGCACCTAACGCTCGTTTCTTTACCAAATTGGCTGCCCTCTACATCGGGGACGTCAAACAGTCGCGATTGAATCCAGAACAGGTCCAGGAACTGGTGGCGCTGCCTGCTCTACGCAAGCGATGGCATGAGCGGCAGACGATTACACCAGAGGCAGAACTGGAGACCGATTGGACCAGTCTGGCTCGCGCCATGAGCTCCCTTCCGGCAGGTGTCCAACGTTGGATCACAAAGCACGTCGTAGGGATGTGTGGTGTAGGGAAGTTCAGAGTCCGGTGGGGTTCCGCCGACTCAGCTGCGTGCCCCTGCTGCGGCGAGTTTGAGGACCACCTTCATGTTCCTCGATGTATGGCGCCCTCAGCGAGTGCGGAATGGGAGCGCCGGACGGCGACGTTGGACCAATGGTTGGACACCCAAGTCACTGACCCAGCCATCAAACACGCTATCCTCTACCTTCTTCAAGGGGTTTGTGATCCGTCCCTACCTTGCAGTCGGTTGGTTCCGGTTCGTCTTCGCCGCGCTGTCCTCTCCCAACAACGCATCGGCTACCAAGGTTTATTGGAAGGCCGGCTGTCCGTTCAGTGGACGGCCCTGCAGGAACAGTACCTTCAGTCACGAGGGAGCCAACGCTCTCCGCCCCTGTGGGTCTTCGCCTGTCGCATCAGCTGATCTTGCTTGGATGTCATATGTGGGAACACCGGAACTCAGTGCAACATTCGGAAGACAACGTACAGCTACGCGAACGTAGCCGATTGGTGAACGACGGTATACACTCTCAGTTTGATATGGGCCCAACTGACCTCCCCAAGGTAGTTCAACACATGCTCGCCGTGAAACGCCGGACTGTGTTGAACAAGCTGTTGGTCGATAGGGAAGAGTGGCTGAAGCTGGTTAGAATGGAACGCACGGCCTATCGCCGCGCTCTGGCGCCCCAACGCCGTATCCTTCACCGCTTCTTCCACCCGGCCCAGGCCCCCTAATCCCGTTTCGAGGAATCAACGCCCCGAAATCACCCCGCCTTGTCGCGGGTAGAGTTGGGATCCCCTCAATCCTGACTAGAGCAACTTCTGTCCACCAGATGTCTCCAATGGTTCAAACTAGTTGTTGACTCGTCGCTTCACGGTACTTGACCTTTACAGCCGCTTATTCCACCGGCAATCGTATGCGCTAGATAGCATTTAATCGATTAATGTTTCAGTTATTATTATTGTCTTTAGCAGTAGTATCGGTGCTAGCAATAGCAGCGTACGCTTTTGTCTTGACTGCAAAATTTCGGAACCAGGCAACACCATATAGATCTTGCAGGACTTCAGCCTGTCTCAAGAATCGTTCCTTGAAATGCATCAAGTTTTTGGTTGTTCCCTGCTTCATAGCAAAGAACTTTTGATTGGCTTCCCAGAAATCCAAGAAGTCATACTCAGCATCAGCACTCTTCTTCATGAATCGTTCAATACGTTTCAAGAGTTTGATTGGATCTTCAAGAGTAGTCGTGAAATCGGCTTCACCTCAAAGCTTGATATCCATCGCTTTCGTCACAAACTTCACAATTCTCTTGTTTGTTTTGAAGTAGGCTGATCTTTGCATGTTCTTGTCGAGCTTTGCAGAATAGAGAATCTTGTTTTGAGCCATCTCTGTTTCTCTTGCAACAGCTTCAGTTTGAGTTGGAGCATTCAATATTGGAGCGATCGCATTGAAGTCGATCGACTTTCCATCTCTAATTGATTTCACCATGTCTTCGGAACATTTCATTCCAGAAGCTTGGATATAGTCAATCACTCTTTCTTCGGCATCTTCGTACGACGATCTTGCCTTTCCACAATAGTTCTCCTGTGTTAGGTATACTTTGAGTGAAATTGTTCGTATTTGATTAATGTTTGGCTTGAATTGATGATTCAATCACAAAAGTGAGTTCAACAATTTTCCCTTGGAAAATCCCTTGTTTACAGAACTCGATTCGACTTTTACGAGGATTCTGTGTTGAATACAGTACTTTGGGACATCTTGTATTATTCCCTACTGCATCATACATGGCATCGATATTCCACTTGTATAGGGTCTTTCCCTTTTTGTGTGGATACAGATTTTCCGACAGACTTGCGTCCTGCAGACTTGCGTCAAATCCAGACATCACAATCAAAGTCCGATCGCATGTGTCGAAAACTTTGTCTTGAATAGTTTCTTTTTGGAACGTAAAAACTCATATTTTGTCATATCCCAACAAATAGCACCTCTGCTTGGAGACATATCAGTGCCAGCAAATGCTCCCGGAGCGGCGCTTCTACTGTCATCACGACCTCTGCGAGCTCCATCTTTCTCCCTTCAATCGCAATCACGATCGCTTGATTCTCGACGCCTGGAAGACGCGCTGCTGCTATGCTTGCGTTGGTCTTCCTGAGCTTGGCGCTTGGCGTTTTTGTCTTCTTCCTCTTTGACATACCAGCAATATACCAACTTCACCCATTTTTAGATTCTGCATGCAGTCTTGCATGTCGGGGAATGCCACGTTGATGTTTGGTCGTGGTGGACTGCAATTCTTTGTTAAATGGAGGCTGGCTTATTCATTATTTCTTCTCTGTTGTCATATAAATCCATTATAATGATATTCCGTCCCCAACGTGCGTGATTATTTTGACTGTTTTGTTCTGGCAGTTCCACATTCTTGAAAATTATATTTTGGTATATTATCGACTAAACTTGAAACGGCCCATAGAACAGGCCCAAGGTATTGGGACTGTAGAAGCTCCTTCGGTTGGGTACAGAACTAGGCCTTAGTCAAAAGGTCCACGTAAGCACTTTTGTTGTATGTGCGAAGATGGAATGCAATAGGAGTGATGAGGGGTAACTCTAAAATATTGTAAGATTATTCTAGGAATGAAATTGGATGTGATGTGGAGCTGAGGTGGCAAGGAAGCAAATGTAGAAGTACTGTAGGATAGTACCATGTGTTCTCTGCAATAGCATCAGCTACTTCACTACGGAAGGCACTCTTCTACAAGGGTGATCAGTCCTCTTAGAAGATCTAAAACCGTGCATCATCGTGTGTATGGTAGACGTACGTACACGGCCCAGACGTCCATTTGTCCAGTTGACCCTTGTGATTACTGTTCTATAATAACGTCACAGGTGTCCGTGTGCGCTAAACGCAAGCAGTGTTCGTTAGTGCTCCATTGGCGGACCAGTGTAGCATATACTGCACTTTCAAGTGCCTCTCTATAGACATCCATAATTTTCTCTGTGACTCTTCTGTGAAGGTTGGGTTACTATTCGAATAGCCAAAGGCTTTTACTGAAGAGATACACTCTGCAGAGTGGCAGCAAGCTATTGCTATTGTATTTGCTACGTATTTGACTTTGTTGCATCTTGATTAAAGCGTTTCAAGTGAAAATACAGCACTATGACTTCTCTTGCAACTGACTCACCATTTACCTACATTGAAAATGATAGGGACATTCTCACTGAGATTGTATTCCATCTTCCTGGCAAAGATGGTGGAGAACGCAAAGCCAAGGTTCCACTTTACCTTGGAAAAGGCAGCAATTTGGAACCTTTTTGCAGGATGTACATCTCATTCAAGAATCTTTGTACGGGAAATCACTGGCAATGTAGCTGGTATTGCCAACCTCAAGTTCTCGCTTTTTTGACTACATCTTGGCGGTCAAGCCTTGAACAAATGGAATTTGATTGAAACAAGCGTGACCAATTGCACTATCACGCAATTCAAGAATTCTGTTGACAATTTTATCACAAAGATGTCAGCTGGCGCAAATCCAAGGAACAGCGCAAGCCGTTTTCTGAAGTCAATCGCCTGCAGGAAGTCCATGAAAACTGATGTGTCCAGACACATCAGGCGACTTGAACTTCTTTGCTTCTATCATGACATGCTTCCTGGAACATCTCAGAAGCTATGTGAAAATGATGATATTTCTGTCTTGACTAAGAAAGAAATTATTTTCCACTCCTTTCCTACAAAGTGGCAGGATACTTTCCTTCAACAAAAAGAAACCATTGAAGACCCCAACATCACCTTGCAAATGGTCAAAACTTACATGCAAGCTACCAAGATTTTATCAGACAATATGCACATCTCCAAACAACATGCTCGTGAAAAGCCTCAACACACTGAATACACCCAGAATTCTCGTCAAGGAGAGAACCCTTTGGAGTTTCTCCCAATCTTTTACAGAGGCCTTTTGTACCCGTCCTGTCAGAAACGCGATTGGGACCATAATGTCTGGTCTGCATCGCTTCGTGACCCACAGTAGTTTCTGCATGAGGGAATGCAGAAGCTTCTGCTTGGGCTTGGGAAGCCTTTCTGCCCCGGGGTCCTCGTGAAATACTTTCTTGCTTGCTAGGTTTGCCGCAGAGCGCCCTAAGTCTTAGCTGAACTCTTTGATGCATTCTTTGATGTGGTCCGGGACACTCAAAACATGTCCAATCCACCCTATCCAAGCTATCAGAATCAAGGAACTCAAAACCAAGGATATTGCTATCCTCCAAGATCTCAAGGCAATTATCAAGGACGATCTACGGGAAACAGTTCTTAGACCCAAGGACGCTTTGGGCAACGAAAGCATCAAGCAAGTTGACTTCCAAACAACAGACCTGCAGGAAATTTTCAAGACAGCAACCCTCAAAACCATCATTATGCTGGATTGCATTACAATCAAGACGGAAGTCAAGCCGAAGGCTCAGTTCCTCATTACAACAATCAGGAAGCGGAATGCTTTGTTCTGGTTGGAACTGTCCCCAAAGAGGGCCAAGGCGGAATGCCTTCTCCCGCAGAGCAGCATGATCAATAATTCGTACAAGGCCAATTCGTCCAACCTTGTGAACAACAAGAAATGTATACTCCTCCTGAAGACTCGTATCCTCCAGATGAATTGTATCTTCCAGCAGATGATCAAGGCTATTATCCATATGATGATGCCTCTGAACATTACCGCTACTACGATGAAGCACATTGACCTTCACTCCAAAACAATACTCGTTCACAGTCTAACCGTGTAATCAATCCTTTCCTTGAACCAAATCTTTCATCTTTTGCTACCGCATCGACCCCTGATAAAGGTCCGATGACGCAAGAAGAAAAGCACTTTCTTTGTAATGACTCTTTCATTCGTGTACCAACTCCAAAACAGACTTTGGAATCTACGGGTGAATCGATGAACAAAAAGAAACTAACTCCTATTTCTTTGATGCAATGGGGATGATGCTTTCATCCTCGATGCAAAATATGAAGCAACAACTGGTGCTGAAGTTGCTTCCAAGCAAGTCCACTTGACAAAAACGCAACAAGATCAATTGGCAACTATATTGGAAAATACACAAGAGCTTTTCGATGGCAACCTTGGACACTACAAACACGAGAAGATCTATTTGGAAGTTGAAGACTGTGCTGTACCAATTTATTCCAAAGCCTATTCCGTTCCTGTGAAACACCAACACGCTTTTCTCAAGGAACTTTGGCATTTGGAATCAATTAACGTACTCAAGCAATGTGGTCCAACTGAATGGGCCTCTCCTACATTCATTATTCCAAAGAAAGATGGAAGAGTACAATGGATCAGTGATCTTTGCAAGTTGAACAAGGTTCTCAAACGTAAAGTAAATCCTTTGCCATTGATTGATGAAGTTGTCTTGTCGTGCTGGCTACAAATTCTTTACCAAACTTGATCTCACAATGATGTATTATTGGTTTGAGCTTGATGATGCAAGTAAAGAATTGTGCACGATCGTCACCCCATATGGCAAATATCAGTACCAACAAATGGTGATGGGATTGAAACCAGCTCCTGCTGTTGCTCAATACTACATTGAGAAAACACTACATGGTTTGAAAGAACAAGGTGTTGAAGTCTACATTGACAATGTTGGACTCTTTTCTAACTCTTATGAAGAACACATGCAATTGATCAAGACTGTTGTCGAACAACTTCAAGAAGCAGGTTTCAAGATTAATCCTTTGAAATGTGAATGGTGTGTTCAAGAAACCAACTTCTTGGGCCATTGGTTGACCCCTGAAGGTGTCAAACCTTGGAAGAAAAAGGTCGATGCCATCCTCAAAATGGATGTTCCTTGCAACATTACTGAACTTCGAGCTTTCTTGGGTGCTGTGACCTACTATCGTCACATGTGGCCCCGACGTTCTCACCTTTTGCAACCGTTGACAGCTCTCACTGGCACACGAACATTTCAATGGACGGACAAATGTCGTCAGACAATTGTATTGTACAAAGAGGTAGTACCTCGATGTCCAAGTACCAAATGATACCGCACAATCACTGGAGCAACCAAAGTTTCAGGCATGTGAATTCTCCATTCGTTAGGTTTATTCAAATCTGCACGATAGCAGATCACATTTTGATTGTCAATTTGCATGATGGGATATTGAGCCCAAGTTGCTGCGTTTTGCGATTTTTGAATGAGGGCAACATCTTGAAGCTGATGTTGTTGAATGTTTGCCATTATGATTGGATTTGGCACCATAACTTCCAATGGAGGATGATTCAAAAACAATTCAAGCATCTCATCATTTTTGATAGCGCCATGTCCATGATCACCATCTCGACAACAAACAAACATGCATCGGAAGGTACGATTGAATTCTGCTTCAGATGGAGGAGGAAGAAGAACTTCTTCTTCAAAACAGTACATTCCATCCTCGGGATCCATTTTGACATTGAGTTTGTCAAATGCGATCAATTTACCTTTTGAGAGTGAACTCTTCCCCTCAGACGGTTTCTCCATTCTCGGCAAACGCGAGAAACAGTTGGCCAAAACATTATCTTTACCAGGCAAATAGTTAAACGTAGGCAAAAATTCTTCCATGTACATTTGCCAGAGTAAAACTCGTTGTGTATTCAACGTAAGGAAAGTGAGATTTTTGTGATCCATAAAAATAGTCAATTAAGCAATGTACAATAGCCAACATTTCTTTTTCCATGATGGAGTAGTTCTTTTGTGCATCATTGAGTTTTTGACTCCAGTACGCCACTGGCTTTTCGTCTTGCATGATTATGGCGCCCATTTGATAGTCCGAAGCATCAGTGCATAGTTCAAAGGGCTTGTTGTGATCGGGATACCGCATTAAAATGTCACTAGCCATCAAAGATTTCATTGTTTTGAAAGGTTTTATACGACTGAACCTTATTCACCATGGCAAAATACTGCCAAAGGCACAATCAGGGAGCTGAAGAAAGACACTGCACGAGTCATGCTCCGAACTGGGACGCCAAAGAGGCTATGGGATGACTGTTTGGAATATTGGGCCTACATCCGATCTCACACCGCCCTTAACATATACAACTTGGATGGGGAGGTGTCGGAGACTGTTATGACTGGACAGACTGCAAATATTGGTCCATGGTGTGATTTCCAATGGTATCAATGGGTAAAATACTAGGATGAGACTGCAAGATTCCCTGATGATAAGATGTCCCTTGGACGATACTTGGGACCAAGTTCTGGAATCGGATCCCTCTTGACTGGAAAGATACTCAACTACCACCACACATGTATTAGTTCTAAACAATCACGCTTTCAGCTTTTGTTGTTTGAGCAATCACAGTTTTTGAAAATCAAACTATATCACAACATCAGACCTTCATCATTCTGCACTGTGAAGCAATTATAGAACAAATCTTGGATGAAAAGTCTTGATCGAAGTGTTCCCAAGTCTGCTACAAAGACAAGCCGTGTGTGGACTAGGTATGTGGACTGGAAGTACATCGTATAACACTCTAAACATTTAATATGTATTCAACCCTCAATCGTACTGCACTTCTAACAGATATGGCAAAAGGGACCCGGTGGATTTGAAGAGAGGTCTGGGTTAGATGGTGAAGGGCACCGCCATGCGCCCTGGAACGAATTTGACACACTACTGATACTGCTGAATGAGCCCCATGCACAAAAATTCTGATTCAGGGATCTTGCCCCAGCAAACATTCTACCCATATCAATGAGTGAAGCAACATTCCATGATGATATGTCTTGATTGAATTCCCATGCATCTTGGAACATTTCCCTCATATTAGTCACCGAAGATACATCCCAAGATGACAAGTCTTGGTCAAAGACGGTCCCCCGGAACGTTCGATACATTGACGTTACAGAGGAAACATCCCATGATGATATGTCTTGATTGAATGGGCTTGCATGAAAGGTGGAACCCATATCAGTTACGGAAGAAACATCCCATGACGACAAGTCTTGGTTGAAAAGTGATGCAATACGGAAAGTGGAAGCCAAAGTCCTGACACTCGAAACGTCCCATGATGATATGTCTTGATTGAATTTCTGTGCATATTCGAACATGCCACTAATGTCCGTGACAGAAGAAACATCCCATGATGATATGTCTCCATCGAAGACTGATGCCCATCTGAACATACTGGCCATGGATGTAACAGAAGAAACATCCCATGATGACAAGTCCTGGTTGAAGACACTTGCACCCTCAAACATCTGATCCATATTTGTTACAGATGACACATCCCAGTTTCCGATATCCTCATTGAAAGTAGAACGTTCAAAGAACAGGTTCTGCATGCTTGTAACACCTGCACCAAAACACCAGTCTGCGATTGGGCCATATTGGTCTTCAACTGATGCCTTTAATTCAGGGGTATCAAACCAGTTGCCTACTGCATCAGACAGCTCAGTATTGGTTTGAAAACAGGGTGATGGAACAATGACATCCCCAGTTTGCTGTGAAAGGAAATTGAGAAACTGCATTAGAAACAAGAAGTCAATTGAATTGCGATGACCATCAATTGATGAATGACTCTGTCTTACCCATTGTCCATTAGCAGAACTACCATTAGGGTCGCGTCTCCCAGACTCATACCCCTCAGGATTACCAATATCGGGCCGTGTTGAATCCCATATCCAAATTGCCACTGCTCCTTGCCACATGACTTGACCGTTTCGTCGTTGTTCCACTTCATATATTGTTGCTACTCCTGTAGCAGGCAATGGCCCAAAAACAGCCTCCCAATGCTCTGGGCGGAAAAGGAAATATCTTCCAGTATTGTCTCCAACGACGACTTGGTTATCCCAATCAGCCACAATTGGAACACCCAGTCCATCAAAAGCCGAAGGCGCACTAGAAGGCCCAGGGCTGGGTGAAGTTGAAAGGGCAATAGATGGCAGTTGTGTTGGACTTCTAGTTGGCAGTGGTGTTGGCAGTGGTGTTGGCAGTGGTGTTGGCAGTGGTGTTGGCAGTTTTGTTGGACCTTGTGATGGTTGCGATGTCGGTAGTGGTGTTGCATCAGGTACCGGAACAAGTGTTGGAACCAATGTTGGACCAAGGGATGGTGCTGATGTAGGAGCAGATGATGGAAGCGGACTAGGCATCAATGTTGGCTCATCAGTGGTCGGAAATGAAGCAGGAGCTTGGGTGGGATTGCTGAAAGCAGATGCACTAGGAGCACTGGATGGACTTGCACTGGGAGTAGCCGAAGAATCTGACGGGGGAACAGGAGGTGCAGGACCTGTGCCCGTAGCCCCCATGGAAACAATGAGTACTTCCTTGAATGGTTGAGGCAAGCCAAGCTTTGCAACCAACTCTGGTTCTGGTCCAAATACTTGAATGATCATATTTGTCAAGGTAAATGTTGTAGCAGACTCCTTCAAGTACAAATCAAGGATTGTGGATACATGCAAGCACGGTGTTTCGTCGCTCTGCACACAACCTGTAGTTGATTCTGGTCGCACCGTTGCGAGACCATTTACAATCTTCACATTATCCGAGGAAGAACTGCTCTGACGAGATAGATTTTCTTGCCCGGACAGAGTCCTCAGCATGCGTCTTTCAGTGTTGATTGGACACCCGACGAGTTCTGGCATGAAAAGAGCTTGGATTTTCTCTTCCAACTCCTGGGCTGTCGTGTCATCAGGATATTCAGAGTCTAGCACAACATCCATTTGTACCTGGAAGCTTTGCAATACGGTATCGTCTTGCCCAGGCACCACTTCTCCGTTGGCAATTGCGGCGCAGTCTTCTGATGAAGGAGGAAGATCCAACAAGACTAGACTGCTTGGCGTGCTGGAGGGTGATCCAGAGGGACTGCTGGATACAGGTGCCATTGTTGGCACAGACTCTGTTGGATCAGGATCAGGATCAGTTCCAGAAACAGTCTCTGACTCAGGAACAGCGGCAGTGGTGTCATTGGTTCGCGTCCCAAAAAAGATGGCGACGGCTCCTCCAACCAAGATTAGTAGGACGACAACCCAGAACCAGCCTTTGCAATAAAATGGTTTTTCTTTGGATTCGGGTTGCTTGTCTTCTTCGTTATGAGGAGTGGTGTCTGGTGGGCCTCCGGTACCGTTAGGTACTGGTGCTGGGGAGACCACGCCTTTGGTTGTAGTGGAAGCGTCCTCCGTTGCATCGACTGGAGCTTTTCCTGCGTTTTCGTCCACAGCTACGGCTTCAAGCAATACCTCACCGCCTTTGTTGATGTTTATTGCTGCTCCTTCGCCAGTAGTATCCTCAATAGGCTTTGATTCTAGATCCTTCTTCTGTCCGCCCTCTTCAAGTTCCAGCATGCCAGCAGCCTTCAACTTTTGCTGAGCTCTATCGGGCCTGCTGGAATCGCCCTGATTTCTTCTGCTGGAATCTTTTCGGTTCCCAGCTTTGCGCTGTTCCCTACGAGCATCAGCTGTGGACGAAGTGACTGCACCAGGAACAGTAGCTGGCTTTGAGCTTCGGCTTTTGCGTGCTGAAGACCTGGATCCTTTGCCATCAGATCTGGAATAACGGCCGCTACCGCGATCACTTCGATCGATAGCATCACCAGAAGATCTTGGTCTACCAGAGGATTTCTTTGATCTGCTTTGCGACAAATCAGTGCCAGCAAATGCTCCCGGAGCAGCGCTTCTACTGTCGTCACGACCTCTGCGAGCTCGATCTTTCTCCCTTCGATCGCGATCTCGATCGCTGGGTTCCCGTCGAGACCTGGAAGACGCGCTGCTGCTATGCTTGCGACGGTCTTCCCGAGCTTTGTGCTTAGCGTTTTTGTCTTCTTCCTCTCTTGATGGCATCTTATTTCCTGCTCTTGGTTGAACGAATGAATTAAAATTGTAGTCAAAATTACGTCCAAAACAGAAGGCAAAAAAGCGACTATGGTACATGCGTGCGAAGTTGCATGCAGTCTTTCAAGCCGAGTGCTACGTGGCCCTTTGGGACTTTGCTTCTTTGTTAAATGGAGGTTGGCATGATAAATACAAATTCTCTCTTGCCAGATCAATCCATGATTGTATTCCGCTCCCAACGTGCGTTTTGCTCTTGGCAGTGAGACATTCTTGGAAATCACTTTTTTGTTTACTTATTGGTTACACTCGTTACCACTTCCTCGATCCTCCTAGAAAAACGGGACCCCGCGATCGGAAGGCGTTTTTCTCATTCCTAAAAAGGGCACATAATGTATTCGTAGTCAAAGTGTGTCATCTTATTTGTATTTCTACGCCAGGAAGATCCATCATATTCTTCTACTTACTGTATACATCACGGAGAACAAGCGCATCTGTCTCGAACCAAATGAGAGGAAGACTGGAAACAAGCTACCGGTACAACCTCCTGAGGTGCAAATGATCCAATCAACTTTCAACAAGCAATCCAAATCATGCGGGGTGTTCTCGGTTCTCGGCCTACCACCTGCCACCTGCTACGCCGACATAGAATGAATAAATCGAAGCAGTCAAGACAACTAGTGTCTATTCTACCGCGCGTTTGCCTCATATGAGGCAGGGTGTTTGCCTCATATGAGGCAGAATATCGACCCAAGAATCGGATGTACGCACGGACCATCTTGGTACAAAATGAACACAAAAAACAACAACTCAAAAAAAACACTTCGACCATGACAAAACACCTACTTTTGAACACGATAGAAGTAAAATAGACTAATGGTTGTCTAGAAGAATGTTTATCAAATAGGTGTTGCCGCCAGCAATCGCGGTTTATTTTAGGACTGCATATGTAGCATTTTTCATGATTTGGGCTTTTCTCTCGGTCTGTCAAATCCACACAAGCCGAACACTGGAGGCTTGTCTTCTTGCCACGGCCCTCAATGCAGCATCTACCTTGATATAGCTGCACGTTTCCTGTCCTTTGATCCTCTGCTTGCGTTTTGTTGGAGTTAGGTGGATTCCAAGCCCATTCCTTGCAGTGGGACTACCAAAAACCGTGGGTAAATCTGTAAAATTTAGAGGTGGTTTTCGTAAAGACCGTTGATTGTTGTACCTGTTGTTGATTAGTTCCTCAGCAAGGTAGGAATGGAAGATTTTCTGTGCCTCTGTTGTATTTGTAGCTCGCTTGTATAAGGCCCAAGTATCAGTGATGATAATTCCCAACATGGAAACGCCCACTCTGATATGCCACGAGTGACACTTCAATTTTCGTTCCAACTATAGTGTGTCTTGACAATGGCGGTTTTGCTGATCAACCCTTCCGAAGGTTGAGCAGCAGACTTCACAAGCCATTGGCTGTGGTATTTGGAAGTCCACTTGCTCGGGTGCTGTGTACCTGTCGTTAACTAGTTGTCTCCAACATGTCCGCCAGTACCCTTCTCCAACTTCAAGGGATGACTCAGTTGCAATGAAATACCTCCGGTCACGATCAACCCAGACAAATGCAAGGAGTGTCGGATTGCTGAATCTGCTGATAACCCCTTGAAGTCGCCACAGTTTTGTAGCTCAAGGCCTGATAGGTATCCCTGAGGATACCACTTCCTATTGGCTGTCTTGACTACACCAATGAAGTGCATCCCAAGACGGAGCCTTTCCTCCTCAGCTGCAACAGAAGCAAAGTATGAGTCAGCACAGACGACTCTCCAACTGGCTGTTATGCAACGGAAGTACCAATTCCTTCATCACCTGGAACCCATGTGGCAGTCCATTGCCTTCTGTAGTTTTGTCTTCTTCCTCTTCATTTCTCTTTGTAAGCTTCAGACGAAGCATCACACCACTATCACCACACGCCGAATCTTGGATCTCACACCCACTTTCTGTTTTCCTGTCTATTGCAACATAGTTGGGAAGGCCCTCATTGATCCAATGACCGCCCATGCCATACCATCAGTATAAGACTGAAGGCTCTGGAAGGAAACAAAGAAGAAAATAGTCCAACCTCGACAGCAAAAAACCAGCGTCACATCCATCACAGATCTCATCATTCACTGGAGTCTTCAACACCCATTCTCGCTGGCAAATGAGATTGCCAATACTAACCCCATCTGGTTCATCAAACCATTCGAAGCCATGCTGAGTTTGCAACTGGCTGTGGTCCCTGTTACTGTTGTTCCGGCGGAGTTAGGACGACCGACTATTGGCCCATTGTCATGGGTTCTGGTGCCTGTTGCTCATCTGGGACCGATCTCGTATGATTGTTGTGTTCTTCTGGTTGGTTTGGGGGTGTTGTTGGTTGTTGTGGTTGTTGTGGTGACTGTGGTGGCTGTTGTGGCTGCTCTGGAGCCAGTGGTAGAGCAGGCATCGGATTTTGTGCCGCGACCACTGCTTCTACTTCCACACCTTGTTGTGGTACAGCAGGTTGGACAACTTCAACAGGAGCAAGACTGACGCTTCTACTGTTGACAGAGGCGACTTTTGTTGCTGTGTCACCAAGGGTACATCTTGCTTTGGTTGTGTAATTGGCTCGACCAGTTGCTGTTTGGCCGCAAACAACCTCCTCCACAACTCCAAAAACAACTTTTGACTTGGCATTGGAGCCATAGCAACGCTTGCACTCGGCCAAGCTGGTGACCAAGATTGCCCTTGTTGATACTCTTGCCCCTATTTGATGTTTGGGGTTGCTAGGTGTCATGGTTGGGTCGTTGTAGCTGTCGTTGTGATGGTGATGATGTCAGTTTTTTTTCGCACACCAAAGTGCATTGAAGCACTTTTGACGAAGAATATCTTCCGTCACAGCGATTTTCATCCAGTGACCCCATAGAAAACATGAAAGATTGAATACCAAGGAATACGCTCTTAAAGCAGGAGGTTTGTTAAACATGTTTACAGTAGTTAGGTAGGACTGTCAAAAGCTGCGTCATATGAGGCATATGCCTCATATGAGGCGCGCGGTAGAATAGACACTAGGAAAGGAAAATGCAATGTACATGGCTGTATCTGCTCTTGAGGGTTGGAACGTTGCCAGCAACCCTCGTATCCCTTGACTTCCAAGGGTGCTTCTCACCTTCCAAGGGTGAAAACAGAGGAGGTTTTCTCGCGACGACATCACCAGCAGTGTCGGAACCCAACGGTCTTTCACGCTATCTAGACTGTACACAGACTCGCACCGCCTCTGCTCGAACAACACGCCACACCGCAGTGCCTATCACCCCCTGCACCTGTTCAAGCTTTCCTCCTCTGCGCAACTGCGACCAAAATTGCCACTACCAGTCCGAAGGCTCGCAGTGCTATGCCTGATGCAAACCGTCCCAGAAACCAACTGATCTCATCAGCACAACAGTAGGAGTACCATTCAACGCCATCCAATCGCAAAGCAACCAACGTGCGCAAAGCAAACAAATTTGCCATCACAAGTCAAGAGGCATAGTGCTGCATGATATAAGACGCTCCAGAGACCACGATCTCAGCACCCTAGGGACACTACATCGCAATTCAATCGTAATGCAATCAAACTACACACAGATAACAAACAACTCCAGTTCTGCGCTATCAATCCCACATCCTTCGTCACACACATGATCGGCAATCAATGCTTCATTTGCAAGGGTGTGTTGATATATTGATCATTGCCCGATCATGGAATGTCACCATCTCCAATGATGATGTCATGTTGGACGTTGTGTTGGGCGTTCTGACGGAAGTGATGTCGGTGATGGTGTTGCATCCGTTACTGGAACAAATGTTGGTGCAGGAGTTGGACCAGGAGTTGGACTCGGAGTTGGTGCAGGAGTTGGACCAGGTGTCAGATTGATAGTAGCCGCAGACGTTGGAAGTAGACTGGGAACAAATGTTGGGTCCTCTGTGGTCGGATATATGGCAGGAGCCCTGGTGGGATTCCTGGAAGCAGACACACTAGGACGACTTGATAAACTTGCACTTGAAGCAGCCGAGGGCAGCGACGATGGCACAGGTGTTGTAGATTCCATAGACACGATACGCACTTGTTTGAATGGGAGTGGAAGACCAAGCTTTCCGACTAGCGTCCGAACACTTGGATGATCATAGTCGTCAAGGGGAATACTTCCGCAGATTCTTCCAAAAGTACAGGTCAAACATTGTTGACACATGCAAAGCACGGTGTCTCGTTTCTCTCCACACAAGGAATTTTTTATTCCGGTTGTACTGTCGCGATACCATTGACTATAATAACTGAATACTTCTAGCGCTAACGCTACTACTACTCTATTTCATGTAGATCCAATTCTTGAAACTACCCTTCTCTTTGGTTCCATTGGGAAGCCGATGACTCCCTTCGCCCTCAAAACGGCCTTTCACAAATGTGCCGTCGTAGACATGTCCGTCTGTGGTGGTATAGACACCTCGGCCATGCCGATCATCTTTCTCAAAGATCCCATCATACTTGGCCCCATGATTGTAATGATACAACCCCACGCCATTCCGTTTGTTCTTCAAGTAGCCACCAATGTAGGCATCCCCATTGATATAGAGAGCAACTGCCTGTCCATGCAAGGTTCCTTGGAGCCTGTTGTACAAGACATGAGGAGAGAAAAGTTTGAAAGTCATATCATTGAGTACACAGTGTATATATACTAAGCTTGGTGCTGGAATGAATCGAGACGCGTCTTGGAGCAGTCCATTGGAGCAACACACGAATCAATCAATCAAGCAAGCAATCGATTAATCAAGCAAGCAATACTTCGATGATTCGAGTACTTACCAATTTCCTAAAAGGATCCGGCCATCCTTATACTTCATGATACCAATCCCATGAGGCCTCTGATAGAGGACGCTTCCAGTATACCAACGATCTCCCCTGATTTTCAAATTGCGGACAATTTTGCAAGCCGCCATGGGAGAATTGGGTTCAAAGTTTGCTATAGCACTAGCCAAGAGTCCATTGTCGAGGAGTTTGGTGGCGACGGTTCCATTGCAAGCCATTTCGGTAGCACCTTCTGTCGCTGCACTACTGAAGTAGTCTTTTGGTTGCAGTCGCGGTGGCTCGTAGCTGTTGCGGCGTGGAGCAGCAGCAGCAGCATTCGTGGAAGCATTATCATCATTATCATTATCATCCAAATCGTAATCGGCCATGTCCACATTTTGTTTCTTGGTCACCACCACCACCAATGCCATGGCATCTTCGGCAATCGTTTTAATTTGCGAGTTTTGATCATCGGGTGTGAGACTACCATTGGCAATCACGCGTAGAATGGATACAAACTTCTTTCGTAGCCTTTCGATAACTAGTAACGACTTCTTGTTGTTCGTTGCATCATCCATGTTGTTGTTGGTAGTAGTAGATGGCGGTGTCAAAAGTTTCTTGTTGGACTCGATGAAGTCGTCCAAGGTTTGGGTTTGGGTTTGGGCTTTTCGCTTTTTAGACGCGGCTGCGGCTTCTTCTTCTTTTTCTTCTTCTTCTTCTTGAGTAGTACCGGTAGTAGTCCCACTATAATGCACAAGAGCCTTTTGAGTCAGCTCCAGCATTTCGTTTTGCGACAAACAATGCAAGACATTGTCATCCTGCCGTTGATAAAAGCGATGATGACCCTTTTGTTGCATCTCCGCAATGATGCCCTGGGCAATGTACAATTGGCATTTATGATTGTCCTCGTCATTATTCTTTGCGACTGCGGCATAGGAGCCAGCCGCCTTTTCAATCAACGATTCCCATTGCGGATCATGATGATACAAGAACAATTGCGGCTCGTCTTGGCGGTCCGTGGATGGCCGCACCTTCTTGGTGAATATAGTACTAGTAGAAGCAGGTACTACTACACTACCACTATCGATGCTGCTGTGGCGCTTTGGAAAGTATAGTCGAATGTGTGTCATTTGATGGATGAATGGATGGATGGATGGATGGATGGATGGATGGATGGATGGATGGATGGATGGATGGATGGATGGATGGATGGATGGATGGATGGATGGATGGATGGATGGATGGATGGATGGATGGATGGATGGATGGATG